ATACCATAACAAAACTAAAAGGTCTTTCTACGAAGAAGACATAGTTATGCTTGGAAACACCTGTTAGAAATTCATGTACAAACTTGAAGTTATAGATGATTGAACTACAGCAAACACAAATATATTTAAAACGGTGACAAGGAAACGCTACAGCAAATATAGTCACCCGACATTGGGCGTGATGACATTGATAAAGAATATGTCAAAATCATTTTTATTTTCAAAAGAAATGTGTATTAAACATGTTATATGAGTTTCTAATTACTAATGGTGTAAACCATACTTATTATCAATCCAATGGCATTTTCACAGGTCTTCTGAATATATACCGATTTCAACGAATACCACAATTCGCAGAAACAATAATTTGTTTTAGGGTTTCACCCTTTAGAATCATGTTAGGTACGTCGATTTTGTTTTAGGCATGTAAGTATCCCTATGATCAATGCTTGCTTATATGAATATAAGGAGAGTTTGTTTGTTCATTTGATGATTGGTTATATACCTTGCATTGTTTCATTTCTTTTTTAGCTCACCGAGGCCCGAAAGGCCCCATGTGAGCTTATGCCATCACTTGGCGTCCGTCGTCGTCCGTCGTCTGTCGTCGTCGTCCGTTGTCGTCTGTCGTCGTCGTCTGTTGTCGTCTGTTGTCGTAAACTATTTCAAAAATCTTCTTCTCTGAAACTACTGGGCCACATACCTTCAAACTTTAAGTAAATGTTCCTTAGGGTATCTAGTTTATAAATTGTATCCAAAGTTTTGATCCATAGACAAATTTGGCCCCCATGGCTAAAAATAGAACATAGGGGTCGAATGCAGTTTTTGGCTTATATCTCAAAAACTAAAGCTTTTAGAGCAAATCTGAAATTTGGTAAAATTGTTCAATTGGTCAAGATCTATCAGCTCTGAAATTTTCAGACGAATCGAACAACCCATTGTTGGGTTGCTGCCACCGAATTGGTAAAAATTTTGCAGTTTTTTGTTTTTATTATTATAGATATATATAAACTGTAAGCAGCAATAATGTTCAGCAAAGTAAGATCTACAAAAAAGTTAATATGACCAAAATTGTCAATTGACCCCTTAAGGAGTTATTGCCCTTTAAAGAAAATTTTACACAATTTGTTCATCAAGTTTGCTAACATTTAAAAAACTTTTTCTCTGAAATACAGGTGAGCAATTCAGGCTCTTGAGAGCCTCTTGTTTAAAATCAATAAGTCAAGCTATTTTTAACAGTTAGCATAAGTCAGTGTGAATTATAAACTTCGGTGCTTTAAATATTGACAAAATATTTTTGCACAACCAACTGCTTTTGGCAGTGTCAACCCTTTTCCAATGTAAAAAAACAATAGTCATAATCAAGTCATTGACACAACAAAACAAAATTTCAGTATCACTGATGGTAATACTGTCATTGGTTCTAAGTCGTTATATCAAATATATTTTCGGATATTAAAAGTTCTCTTTTAAGGTAGATAACTGTATACCACTAACTTAGATTGTAAAATAGCAGTTCACAATAGGTCTAGTTTTTTTGCTTTATCTGCATATTTTTAGATAGACTGGCAATTAATGGGTTAGACTGTTTATTGGAATTAAGAAAAAAATCAGTGATTTATCACATTATTCAGACTGATTTATCAAATACGAAATATTTTGCTTATTCGAATCAAATTGTCAACTTATCCATTTAAGTGGAGATAACTATATTAGAATTTTTTTTATAAAAGAATGATAGGAGAAATTTTGAATTTTTACTTGTGGCGAGAAAACAAGGTTGATGACGCCGTTTTTTCTTCTTTTTATAATCTTAAAGCACATTTCTTACATTTTTTTTCAAAATTATGTCGCAAAGAATTATTTTTATTCACAAAAAAGTGTTTTTTCATGTAAAAGTATGCAAATTTTGGAAATTTTGCACGATTTCTAGCTTGAAAAATAGGACGGTGACCAATACTTTTTATTTTATTTTTGAAAAAAGCATGGGAAAACCTTTATTCTGGCAAAGTGTCAAAAAATTCTATCTGAGGGAAACATATACCAATGATCCATCTTAAATGTAAAACTTTAAAATATAGTAAACTATAGGAATGATTGAACTGAATTTCGAAATGTACGATTGAGTTTCAACACAGATATTTTAATGTAAAATTCAGGCGAAAAAAAAAAAATAAGAATACCGAAAATTTCAAGATCAAGAGTAAAAGCATTAACTCAAATAATTTACATTTTCTCTTACTCCCAATCGCCACGTGTGTTAATACATAAGTAATAATAAGATATTGTTTTGACCTTGTCGTTGTTCCCATTTTCAATTTACGTACTTTAACAAACATTAAAGAGAGTCAAATTGTAAACAAGCATATCACTGCCAAAACCCAGCTTAAAGCCTCTTCCGAACATTTGAAAGTCCCTACTATGTACTGGTTACCTAAATTGCACAAACAACCATTTAAATTCCGTTTAATCTCCACATCTAGTAAGTGTTCTACTACTAATCTTTCAGTGCTTCTTACTACCTCCCTTACTACTATCAAAGAACTTGTTATTAACTTTTGCTATAAAGCTTATGAAAATAATGGTATTAATTATTTTTGGAGTGTTAAAAATTCTTTAGAGGTTTTAGATAAAATACATGCTTTTGATGGTCCTTTTCATTCTGTTGGCAGTTATGATTTTTCTACTCTCTACACTACACTTCCACACAATCTTATCAAGACAAAGTTTTCATATTTAATTAAATGATCTTTTGAAAAATCTCATTGTAAATTATTTGCTGTAACTCGTTTAAAGCCCTTTTCTGTAACGAAAAAGGAAAGTATGCTAGATACATTTACTGGAAATGTAAAGATATGATTAAAGCTTTAAATTTCTCCTGGAGAACATATATGAACGTTTCGGCGATAATGTGTATCGACAGGTAGTAGGTATTCCTGTGGGCACTAACTGCGCCCCTTTCATAGCAGATTTATTCCTGTATTGCTATGAATCTCAGTTTATGACCTAACTCAGTAAAGACACGTCATTGTTACATTTGGTTAATACATTCAACAATACATGTACCTACCGTTATCATGATGATACTTTTTCGTTAAAAATCCAGAGTTCTCTAAATATACTATCGAAATTTACCCTAAGGAACTTATTCTAACTAAATCTAACATAAACAGCAGTAGTTGTCCTTTTCTAGATTTCGACATTTCAATTTCTAAAGGGAAACTCCATACTGAAATTTACGACAAAAGAGACGATTTTTCATTCCCTACTGTTAATTTTCTTTTTTAGACGGCGATGTTCCTTTGGCTCCATCATACGGTGTTTATATATCCCAACTCGTTCGTTATGCCGTGTGTGTAGTGATGTCATAGATTTTAACGAAAGTAATCAATGCATCACTGGTAAATTATTAAGTCAGGGATTTCGTTACCATAAATTACTGAAAACCTTTATTAAATTCTTTCATAGATGCAAAGATTTGATTAGTAAATTTGGCTGTACCTGTTGAAAACTTATTAAAACGGTATTTCACATCCTAAATTTTACAGTAATATTGTACTTAAAGCGTGGAAATTACTATGAGATCCATGTAAACTCATCGAACCTTAAAACAAACTTATTAGTAAAGTTTATCTTACCAATGCTGTAATTAGATTTTTGAATATAGTTTGTTTTGGCAAAAAAATCGATTTTGTCATCATCAAATTAAAACATAACTAAAGTTGTATTCTTTTCAAACGGGGTGTATAAATACACACTCACATTCATTTTTTATATAGAGGTTATCTCCTAATTATCCTACTGCCTGTCAATACTTTTATTTTTGGCATTGCACAATTCACGTCTTCTTTGACTGTCCATGACGTTAAAATACTAAATCCCTGTGATGTGTTTTAGTTGATTTTAGTCTCTGATGCAGGATTTTTTTTTATTATTAATTGTTTTTGGCTTTCAGTAACTGCAAGTACTCTCAAATCGTACTTTCGTGTTAATTTGACCTGTTATACAATTTGTAATGTTTTTTTGTTATTTAATGTTTATTTATTTAAAGTTATATCTCGTATCTCTCTATTTTTATTATATACCAGCTTTGATAATTGTTTGGTATAACTATAAATTTTTACTCCTGTTCTCGTACTATGACAAAAAAAAAATTCCGTTCTCCATTACTGTACAAAAATATTTTCATTTACCTGTGTTCATTATTCTATTTGCCGGCATTTTGTTCAAGATTATGGTTGTTTTTCTGAAATTGTTTAACATCTCATTCCTTATTTTATTGATTTTGTATTTACATTGTATCATAGATCAAATGTATTCGTTCAGTGTATGTTCACTTGTGTTAATATGTCTTTTGATTGAGTGAAGCCATTTCAATTGATATTTTATAGTGTGATTTTCTATGTTGTGATGTTACACTAATGTGTTAGGTAAGGGTGAAGTTTGGTACCTATTAAAACGTTCAAACCCGCTGCATTTGTGTGCACCTGTCCTAAGTCAGGAACCTGATGTTCAGTGGTTGTCGTTTGTTGATGATGTTCATAAGTGTTTCTCGTTTCTCGTTTTTTGTATAGATTAGACCGTTGGTTTTCCCGTTTGAATGGTTTTACACTAGTCATTTTTAGGGGCCCTTTAAAGCTTGCTGTTCGTTGTGATCAAAGGCTCCGTGTTGAAGACCGTACTTTGACCTTTTACAAAATGTGGCTTGGATTGAGAGTTGTCTCATTGGCACTCACACCACATCTTCTTATATCTATTGTATCATTACATAATCACTGCGGTTTTATTGTAGAAATTATACATACAAGATAAAACAATAATAACATAATGTATTGGACAATACAGTAGTTTGCCTACCAACACCATGTGTATGTAGAATTGTGTTTCATATGTCTTTCAGAATGTTTATTTTCAACTGTAATGATTTATTGGTTTGGTACTCTCGAGATAAATTCTCATTTAGGGACTTCTATTCTAAACATGAAATTGTTTTTTTTTTTCAGTCATTGTTTGTGTCATTGTTTATAGAATTATGCCACGAAATAGTAAGTAAATAAAATATATAGACCTCAAGAGTGACTAGGGAATAGAGAAAAAAAATTTAAAAAACAACAACATAGAATTCTAAGGGAAATTCAAAACGGAAAGTCTTTTATAAAATGGCAAAATCAAAAGCTCAAACACGTCTTACGAATGGAAAACAACTGGCATATTCCCGACTTGTTACAGGCATTTCCGTATGAAGAAAATGGTTTCCGTATGTAGAAAATGGTGGATTTAACCTGGTTTTATAGATAGCTTAACCTCTGACTTGTATGACGGTCGTATAGAATTCCTTTATATTGACAACAAGGTGTGAGCATGACAAACAGACATGATAGGTAAAAACGTCAAATTTTTAATCCTTGTCTTTCATTTTTGCTTATGTACTTTGTCTTTATACCATTTTGTGTTTCTTTGTTGAAACAGTTATTTGTTTTTATAGTGATTAAGATTATATTACAATGATGACTGCTGTACCCAAATGTTTGAAGTTTTTACCTATTATGTCTGTTTGTTATGCTCACGCATTGCTGTCAATATAATTTAAGAGAGGTTAAGCTAGCTATAAGAGAGTGTCGAGTTTTATGCACACTAAGAACCCTTGCAACATCTCTATTATGGGTCCGTAAGTCAACTACGATTACAGGACTTACCTATTGTATTTATTATTAATTTGTTCTCGTCCTGAACATGTATGAACGTTTTGCCTCAGAACATAAATCAAACAACAATTCTTCAATCAAGCTTGTATTCGTTCTATTCCTGTATTTATATCTTTATTTGTGTAAGACCTAACCCACACATATGTAAGAATTTATGAATTTCAGTGTCCTAAATAACAATTTGAGAACTGTGAAGTACATAAAATAGAAGAAAGTGAAAAGAAGGCATGCGTATGCAATTTTGTCAATTCCTAAAAATACGCATATAGTAAATGCTATAGATTTGAATATTACACAAAGCATAAATAATATGTTTCAATAATGATTATGGAACTGTCTTTGACATTTTTACAGTTGTGATACAGCGACATTTTCCCATGAAAACGACTGAAAGGAGCAAACTCCTGTACCTATTTTGATTTCCAGTTCCTTTGTTGAACAAGCCAAAATGAGTACAAATGTTGAATCTTTTCCGACTGATTCTTCAGTATTGCTTGTTTTAATCCAATGTCAGTTAATTGATGCAGAAAATATGACCAGAACAAATTTAGAATTTATACAAAAGCAACTGGGATGAAGGGCGGGACTTCAAATATGTAAAATATGTAAAAAAAATATGTCAACCTTCAGACACCCCGAGAGTTGTCGGGGTCATTAACGTGTTACATGTGTGGTACTCTCTTTTACGAATCTTCACTTGGCAGTTTCAGTTTTGCACGATAGACTCATTGTCATCCAAAAGCAATCAAATTTCCAGAAAATCCACCTTTTCAAAATAAGAAGTGATTAGTCTAGTATGTTTTTTCTTAATTGTTCAAGAATCGCAAATTGGTGGAACAATATAATTAATGGCTGACACCTGCTGTCCTTATTTAAATTATTGCTCAACTATAATTATTTGATGTTTTTTGAAGAAGTTCATATTTTGCGATCACAGCGTTTCTTGTATAGTTACTGAAGTTCCACATGCATACCAAATATTTTGCAATTAAGCAAAAGAAATGCTACATAGATTGATTGATTGGTGTTTAACGCCACTTTCAACACTATTTTGCTATTTCGTGATGGTCAGTTTGTATTGGTGGAGGAGGTCAAAGTCCCCTTAGAAAACCAGCGACCTTCGGTAGGAAAACTGATATCCTAGTCAATTAAGATTGGAGTCGAGTGCACCTATAAGAGCTACATAGAAATATTTTAACTACTATTGTTGTTTATTCGTTATAATTAATAAAACAAAATTTAACAAAATAGCATAGAGTCAATCACTAGCCAAATGTTGTATGATTAGTGGTTGATGGTTTTTTTTTTCAACGACCATTTTTTTGCAATTTCATATGAAACTAAATTTTACAATTCATCGAACACCTAGGTACTACAAAGGAGTTGGTTCATTAACTCATAATTTTGGCCATAAACATCTGATTTTTTTTTCACTGTGATAATGTAGTGGACATTTGATTAATATATAAGTAAAAATGTCCAATTGAATCAGTTCAAACATATTGTGTCTTTAGTGACGTCATAATGATGGGAATATTTAAAAAACCTGATTTTTTTGCGGAATTGTGTAATATTTGTGAGAGGTATCTAAAACAAAATAACAGTACCGCCACGCTTCGCAAACAAATATTATTGCTGAAATTTTCTCTTTATGCTATATTCCTTACTTTTCGACAAAATTTTCAATAGGCAAGGGTTGGCGACATATACAAAATCATAAAAAAAGTGAAAAAAGTTGACAAATTTATAGAAATATTGACGAAAATGAAATTTATTCCTATTTCAGGCACATATATTTATAATCATGGAGCAGATATATAATTTTCGTATTATAGTTTCATATATCATATATTTAGCAACAGATACCCATTATAGAAGCTTTAAAAAAACACCTTTACAGGGCCGTTTTTTGGGGGGTTCCTGGCTCTACATCTTTGTTTCAAACAGATTAGAGACATGCATTTTATACTTTGCAATAACATTAAAGTTTTGATTTCACCGAACCACATATGCATTTCAACAATAAATGTCTCTTCAGTGATGCTAGAGGCCGACATATTTCAAAAAAGGAAGAGCTTATAAAATCAAAATATACAAAAAGTACAGACAAAGCTGACAAGAACCCGAGTGAGGGACTGTGATGTGGATAAACTTATTCTACAATTTGTTAAGTATGGATGCTTATCCAAAAAAACTGATCATATTGGTACAAGTATTAGATAATTAAAACCTAATTCAAACGGTAATGAACTAATTAAACCCCAATGACTTGCAGTGAAGCCACACTCGAACTTGGAATCAGGACTATGTATGAGGTTGAGACTTTTTTTTACCAAAATCCCTGCTTCTGACCTAGTAATTATCTAGAATTTTCTACAGACGGAGAATATTTTAAAGTCAAAACGGCATTTATATTTGTTTTCCAACTCGCATTTCTTCAAATTATAGGTTTGTACTTAATGTTTCATTGTAATCGAATATGCCAACCGCCACAAATTAGCAGGGGTACATTAAATAAGACTTCTTCGCTGTTTCGCCATACACATTGCACATGATTGTCTATTTTGTGCGAAAACATTACAAACTTACATTATACGTTATTTAGCTTTGGGGCTTCAATACACTTTTAACACAAAGACAATATCTAACAGACTAACTTGTTTTAGTATAAAAAGAGATACGTATTAAGCGTTCCTATGTGAGCTTTGAAGATATATATATATTTTACTCACATTCGAGTTAAGTGTATGTTTTTTACATTTCGTGTTAGTTACAAATATGTGTATTTAATAACAGATATATACCTATTCAACCAAACACACATAATTATTGTTGAAATCTGATGATAACAAAGGAACTCAAGCAAGAATAATAGATTACATCATATTCTATGCAATATTTAACATGTTTAACGAATAAAGAGATGTCAACCTCAGATCAGGTTTTGTTTGAATATAATTTGTTACTTTATTGTGTTGTTGCTACTGAACACCTTTTTGTTTATTCTAAGACACTTCTATTTTCTTTCGTTTTTTTTTATTTCAAATATTACGTTACAGATGTAAATTTATTTCAGTTTTGCCAGAAGCCATAAACCAATTATCAGAAGTAGATAAAATAAGATACATTAAGCTTCTGCAGGGTTCAAAAACCGAAAACAGGTATTTTGTACGAATTATGATAGTTGGAAAAGAATCAGCTGGGAAAACATGCCTCTTGAGAAGATTATTGAAGGAAGGCATATCCGATGTTTCTAGTACAGATGGTGTGGATATTGTTGTTCGTAGATGCAAAATCAACATAGAAAACGGCAAATGGACAATCGGCAAAAGTATGTAAATACTCAGGGTTGATACATGATGATCATAATTTACAGAAGTCATAAATCGAATACACCTGTTTACCTTTACTTACCTTTCGTATCTTTTGCCATATAACGAAATATACTTTGCAGTACAACTATACTGAAAAGACAAATTAGTATAATCTATATGTCACGTGAAGATTGTTTTCTTCCATAAACCCTTTAATCTTTCATCGCCAACTTTTTGTGGCACCATAACAAACTTTAATATTTACTGGTATCTATAAACATTGAGAAATATCGTAAAGAATATTGGTGGTTAATTAAAACTTCTACAAATGCAACTAATGAACTATCAATTTCAATTAGAGAAGAGACATTATGATGTTCAAAAGCATAATCTTAAATTACATATATATGACAACAATCTCGGAAAAATTGATTTAGGACCATGCTTTTTGATATTGTTTAATACATTTACGCTTGTGCATGCTCACACTGTGTGGACTTTATAAATAGTGTGCTCCTTATAGAAAAAACTGCTCCCACAAAGCTATGAGGCAGGACGTCTGAAATCGACATTGCGTAAGTTTAACGGTCACCATCACTAACTGGTTGATCGATTCGATTTGCCATTGCTTCAACTTACTAGTGACATGTTCTCGCAGTCAGACATATCTCTTTATGTATTATTTGAATAGCTAACATCCGAAAAGTTTAATAATTTTTTAAACTGTTCCTTACATTTTAATGCTATAAGTTATTGTTTATAGAAATAGTTTGATTTATCAAATTAAAATTGGAACAATTACAGTCGAACAGAATATTCCCTTTATGGACCCCTGACATGTATTTTCTTATCAGATCCAGTCTGCATTTTCGAAGAGGTGTAAATTAGACTCCGAAAATGGGTACTGCACTTTTTCAAATCCCTTTTATACCCCAGTCATCCTTCGGATATTTTAACCGTTGTATTTGGGGGAACGCATGGAAACACAATATTTTCATTTTGATTAATGCTGATATTTACTTAATAAACGTAACAATAACTACATTATACTATTTTTATGAACCAATAAAATAAAAGTTACACCCCGTATGGATGGTATGGTAAATGATCACTAATGCCAATCGATAGCCTTGAAATTAGTTGTAAAAAGGTAGTATTGTTTGTCACATTGAAAAACAAATCATTTGTTTCTTTTCTGCCAGGAATTAAAGATGACAAGTTTGGTCGGATAAAGAGAGCAATTATTACAGAAGAAAAAACAACAATGGATGTTACAAAAGGTACTAATAGAAAAATAGATCCTAGTAAATCTATGCAATCAGGAAAAAGAGAAGGCAATGCAGAAGAAAATAGGTCAATTAATGATAGCCATGATACTTCGGAGGATATAGCACCTAATGACTGTGCCGAGGCCACAGACGTTAAACATACGCAGGTAGATGAGACAACGGATAGCAGTATTAGTACTCTTGACAAGATGTCTACTTATAAAAATGACATAAAAACCGAGACAAAAATTAATCTGGATGAAAGTAACGATATGAATCAGTCTTCGTTATTGGTAATGCCTGAGGATTTAATGTCTAATGTGTTTTCTAAGTCAACTGTAAATACTCCTTCGAACCTGTATGCATTATGTGAATTATGGGACTTTGCAGGTCAGAAGGAATTTTATGCTACACATCAAGCATTTTTAACTAGTAGTGCAGTATACCTTGTAGTTGCAGATATGAAGGACGACATCAGTAAACAAGGCTTGAGTCAGTATTTTGCAGATTTTCAGCATATTGGAGGTATGTTTTTTTTTTTTTAGAAAAAAATCAAATGCAATACAAAAAAAAAATAATGAAAGATTTTCGGATTCATAAAAAGGATGTAAAGATTTAAGTTACACTTATTAATTGTTTATATGTTTATATGTTTTGTTGGCTTCCTACCAAGATACAGATTAAAATAACATACTTTGATATAGCAATTTCATTTTCCGTAATAAAAAAAACTCAACAAGCAATATACCAATAAGATATGTTAGCATCGAACCAAAAGTGAAGATAACAAGTTGGGTGGAATCAAGTTTACAATACAGGAAGAAAACACATCTTGTTCAATGAGAAACATGTTCGTGTATAAAAACAAATATATACTGCATTAGAAACTAAATTTTCTCTCTCTCGAATTTTCAAATTGTCAAAAGTTATTCATCACTAGTATTACGAATGCATTCGGACATTTTTGCTGAAATAAAAACAATATATGTTTACCCGTCTTATTTCAAACCAAACAACTGCTGTCAAGAAGCTATAGGAGTGTTTATGCATGAATTAAGTTAAGCGAAAAGTAGAATAGCAAATATACCGAACTACAATAATTAGACATTTTAAAGAATCCCTGTAAGTTCCGTTCAAGATTAAAAATTTGTCAATTCACCTTTTAGTTATTAAATAATGACATTTTACTTCCAATGTATTTTACGACTGTTCAAAAAAATAATCGTACTCTTGTGTTAAAGATGAGGCAGATCTATTTTCTGCAATGTGCGCCCTTTTCCTATCAAGTTTTGTTTGCTAATCAAACCAAATCTCAGTAAAAATGACATTAAAGCAAATGTTTTAATTGCAATTGACAAAATCATTTAAATGCTGGAGTCGACACTACACATGTGTTAACTTTTCCCTATTCGCCGATAATCCCCAAAACACAATCTTTCTTAAACCTGGAGAGAACTAAGAATAAATCTGAAAAAAAAATAATAATATATATATATATATATATATTCTATTACAAAATCGGCAAAATCGTTCCTTTAGTAAAATATACAGTTTCAATTTGTGTTAAACATGTTAAAGATAAATCATGGTTTTTGATATTTTTCCTGTTTTGAATACATGTATATCAAAATGATCATAGTCAGCATCTAAACAATACCTTTTCAACAATGATGATACATTTCAGAGTATGTTGATTTTTGGTTTGATTCTATCCATTGTCACCGAACGACCAGCAAACCAGCTAGTAATGGGCACTTCAATCCTCCGATTTTATTAGTTTTCACGGGAAAGGATAAGTATAACAAGGTAATAAATTTGAAAAATGTTGTTCCTGACTTTTAATTTGATGTCTGTATAAGATTTGACCTATTATCGTCCGTTCATGACCAGAACGTCATCATAGAAATAAGATGTGGGATTATTTCCAGTGAGACCACTATCCAACAAATTCCTAATTATAAAGCAAATATATTAGTCAACGCACTGCATTCAACAATTTAAAAAATCCCATACCATATATATTCAGCTACAAAAGGCCACGATAACAGAACGTTTAACAATTCAAATGATCAAATCAATATTAGATGCTTGTTCATGACGAAAACAAATACAATAGTGTGGTCATGCAGTAGGGAGTCAACCGGTAAGATGGTCGTATGAACTTTGAAAGCCACTCGGTCATAAGGAACAGAAATTGAGCCAGGCAACAGGCCAGCGTACGGGTCCTTCAAAGATTGTTGTGATGGTTCCCAGCGCAAATACAAAATTTCAATCCTGGTATCTATGAGGAGTTTATTCCTAATGTGCATGGAGCGTTAAACCATCTCTAAACGAAAGATCGGATTTTATTTCCCCAATCTGACTACAACCGAGTTTAAACAACATGCACAGTCAAACGGACGCTCCGATTTGACAATGGATTTACTATCATTCGAAGGAGTACTAAAGGCTTACTTTACTTTATACTTAGTAAACTCTAGAGGTTGTCATAAGGGGACGTGGTATGACGAGCAATGATATAACTATCCATAAAGACCAAGCAACTAAAAATGTAACAACAAATCACAATACGGCCTTTAAAAATTGAAAACAACACGTTTAATAATTTCATGCGTCCGACGCGCTTTTCTGGATTTACCTTCATCAAGAACGCTCAAAGCCAATCATTTGAAATCCGAGGGATGTATAAGTACCGAAACAGTTAAAGAGCTATATGACAAAAATACCTAAAACAAATAGCCAAATCCATTTAAGGTCAATTTTGCCTGAGGGAGTTGAAACCTTAGTTTCTTTATAATTTCAAAATTTATAAACGGGCAATTTTAGAAAAGTTTGTTATAAATCATGTCATTACCGAAGTACTGACTACTTAGCTGATGATACCCTGGTGGACTGATAGTCCACCAGCAGAGACATCGACCCAGTGATGTAAAAAATTTAAAACAACATGTTTAATAATTTCATGCGTCCGCAGTGTTTTTCTGGATTTACCTTCATCAGGAACGCTCAAAGCCAAACATTTGAAATCCGAGGGATGTATAAGTACCGATACAGTTGAAGAGCTATATGACAAAACTACCTAAAACAAATAGCCAAATCCATCTAAGGTCAACTTTGCCTGAGGGAGTTGAAACCTTAGTTTCTTTATAATTTCAAAATTTATAAACAGGCAATTTTAGAAAAGTTTGTTATAAATCATGTCAGTACCGAAGTACTGACTACTTAGCTGATGATACCCTCGGGGACTGATAGTCCACCAGCAGAGGTATCGACCCAGTGATGTAAAAAATTGAAAACACGTTTAATAATTTCATGCGTCCGAAGCGCTTTTCTGGATTTACCTTCATCAGGAACGCTCAAAGCCAAACATTTGAAATCCGAGGGATGTATAAGTACCGAAACAGTTAGGAGCTATATGACAAAAATACCTAAAACAAATAGCCAAATCCATCTAAGGTCAACTTTGCCTGAGCGAGTTGAAACCTTAGTTTTTTTATAATTTCAAAATTTATAAACGGGCAATTTTAGAAAAGTTTGTTATAAATCATGTCAGTACCGAAGTACTGACTACTGAGCTGATGATACCCTGGTGGACTGATAGTCCACCAGCAGAGACATCGACCCAGTGATGTAAAAAATTTAAAACAACATGTTTAATAATTTCATGCGTCCGAAGTGTTTTTCTGGATTTACCTTCATCAGGAACGCTCAAAGCCAAACATTTGAAATCCGAGGGATGTATAAGTACCGATACAGTTGAAGAGCTATATGACAAAACTACCTAAAACAAATAGCCAAATCCATCTAAGGTCAACTTTGCCTGAGGGAGTTGAAACCTTAGTTTCTTTATAATTTCAAAATTTATAAACAGGCAATTTTAGAAAAGTTTGTTATAAATCATGTCAGTACCGAAGTACTGACTACTTAGCTGATGATACCCTCGGGGACTGATAGTCCACCAGCAGAGGTATCGACCCAGTGATGTAAAAAATTGAAAACACGTTTAATAATTTCATGCGTCCGAAGCGCTTTTCTGGATTTACCTTCATCAGGAACGCTCAAAGCCAAACATTTGAAATCCGAGGGATGTATAAGTACCGAAACAGTTAGGAGCTATATGACAAAAATACCTAAAACAAATAGCCAAATCCATCTAAGGTCAACTTTGCCTGAGCGAGTTGAAACCTTAGTTTTTTTATAATTTCAAAATTTATAAACGGGCAATTTTAGAAAAGTTTGTTATAAATCATGTCAGTACCGAAGTACTGACTACTGAGCTGATGATACCCTCGGGGACTGATTGTCCACCAGCAGAGGTATCGACCCAGTGATGTAAAAAATTGAAAAATTACACGTTTAATAATTTCATGCGTCCGAAGCGTTTTTCTGGATTTACCTTCATCAGGAACGCTCAAGGCTAAACATTTAAAATCCGAGGGATGTATAAGTACCGAAACAGTTGAAGAGCTATATGACAAAAATACCTAAAACAAATAGCCAAATCCATCTAAGGTCAACTTTGTCTGAGGGAGTTGAAACCTTAGTTTCTTTATAATTTCAAAATTTATAAACGGGCAATTTTAGAAAAGTTTGTTATAAATCATGTCAGTACCGAAGTACTGACTAATTAGCTGATGATACCCTCGGGGACTGATAGTCCACCAGCAGAGGTATCGACCCATTGATGTAAAAAATTTAAAACAACATGTTTAATAATTTCATGCGTCCGAAGCGCTTTTCTGGATTTACCTTCATCAGGAACGCTCAAAGCCAAACATTTGAAATCCGAGGGATGTATAAGTACCGAAACAGTTGAAGAGCTATATGACAAAAATACCTAAAACAAATAGCCAAATCCATCTAAGGTCAACTTTGTCTGAGGGAGTTGAAACCTTAGTTTCTTTATAATTTCAAAATTTATAAACGGGCAATTTTAGAAAAGTTTGTTATAAATCATGTCAGTACCGAAGTACTGACTACTGAGCTGATGATACCCTCGGGGACTGATAGTCCACCAGCAGAGGTATCGACCCAGTGATGTAAAAACTTAAACAATGACAGACAATCATATCGTATAGTTTCCTATAGAGGACTCTTAAATTGTATTTATAATTGTCGTAAGATGTAATGATACGTTTGAATAAAGATGTTATATATTGGAGGTTCATAAACTATTTATATTTCTCACTTATGTCGGTTAAAGTATCAAACATGACAATTGCTGATTCTTTTATTTATTTTCTGTAGGCTGAATTTAAGAAGAGAGAAAAGGAACTTAATAATCAAATAGACCATGTTTTTGGATTTCAAAGCAAATATCACCACTTGTACAACAAGTTTTATCTGTCAAATACTAAAGATAGTAACGAAGATTTTGAGAAGTTGCAATACGCAATTTATGAGACTGCACGTAAAATGGATAATTGGGGTAATGCTTTTCCATTAAAATGGATTCTTTTAGAACATTTGATTGAAATTAATAAGATCAATGGAAAAAATTTCATCAATTTTCCTGACATGTCAAATCTGGCTAAACATCCTGATATCAATATACTAGAAAAGGAGGAATTGTTGTTGTTTCTTCGATTTCAGCATAACGTAGGGAACATTATTTTTTTTGAAAATATACAGGATTTGATCATATTAAGACCTCAGTGGTTAGCAGATGCTTTCCGATGTTTAGTCTCAGATAAAGTTGATTACAGGAGATTGCATCACCTTAAGGACTGGACACGTTTTACACGACAAGGCAAAATGAGTGAATCACTAATAACAGAACTCTTCAATTCAAAAGATGGATGTCAGTTATCAGGACAGAAAAATAATTTACTTAAAGTTATGGAAAAACTTGACATATTGGTCAAAATTGAGAACTCGAGTTATTATGTAATGCCAAGCATGATGCCGCCTTCCACGTTTGATGCTGTATGTGAAAAAATTGGCATTCTTACAAATAAATGCAAAAGGACTTCCTGGCTTTGTTTTAAATTTGAATTTCTTCCACCTTCTTTCTTTAACCATCTATCCGCCTTGTTTATCAGAAAATACAACCCTAGCAAATTAGATAGTGGTATTGCTTTATATCGAGGAATCTGTATGTTTGACAGTGAGGCATCTGGCGGTAAAAAGATTATGGTTACCATGTCGTCTGATACCATTGCTCTCCAGGTCGTGTCGTTTTCCGAACAACATGAGGGATTGAGAAGCACGTGTAGCGATATCTTCAGTGGAGTAACACAACTAATTACAAATATAAAAGAGAGATATAAGGTGAAAATATCGTTTAAACTCCATTTCAAATGCAGTGATGGCTATTATTTTAAAGACACATTTGAATATGAGAAATTGACAATTGAGAAGGAGTGTTTCTGTATTCAGCATAAGCAAATGCATCGATCTGAGCAGATATATTCGCCCTGGATGAATAATGAGGTATGATTTTTAAAACGGCATCTTTACAAATTGTCAAATTATCATTTAGATTCCTCAACAGTCTTTTCTCAGTCTAATATTGTCTGGGCTCATTGTGAACAGACTTTACTCAGTCTGATATTGTCCAAGTGCATTGTAAACAGTCTAACATGTTTAACCCCGCCACATTCTGTATGTATGTGCCTGTCCCAAGTCAGGAGCCTGTTATTCAGTGGTTGTCGTTTGTTGCTGTGTTACATATTTGTTTTTCGTTCATTTTTTTTTGTAAATAAATTAGGCCATTAATTTTCTCGTTTGAATTGTTTTACATTTCGTCATTCCGGGGCCTTTTATAGCTGACTATGCGGTATGGGCTTTGCTCATTGTTGAAAGCCGTACGGTGGCCTATGGTTGTTAATTTCTGTGTCATTTGGTCTCTTGTGAAGAGTTGTCTCATTACATTGGAAGTAAAATGTCATTATATAATAACTAATAATCGCGAAATGATTTGCATGGCGGAAAATGGGGCGTGATATACGTTGTCAATCAAAATATGAGAAACAAAACGGGAAGCAAAGTTTCGATTGACCAGAGTTTAGACGTAAAACTTTGAGCTCCTCGCCTGTTTGAAAATTTGTTTAAATTCTATACAGAAGAATTAGAATAAGGTTAAGTATTATTAGTACATGCAAATAATTATTTCCTATATTCTTTCATAAATCGATGAAGTTCGCAATTGAGAATAAACGGAATCTAGGTTTTATATTGAATGTTATTTTAGAGTCCATGAATATGTCATTAGCCTAAATTGTTGTTACTGGTATTTTTAGCTAATATTCAATACCGGGATAGGCAAAATTCACTGACGCACAGGTTAAAGTTTCAATTTGTATTTTTGCAGCTGTGGTGATTTATTTGTTTAATATTAGTAAATAACCATTTGAATAAATTATATTGATTTTGTACTTTGATTTCGTGAATAATTTGCCATCAGATTCTTCTCTAAAAGTATTCAAACCGCTCGGAGGCATAAATTTCACCACACTCTGTTCATACAACATATGAAAAACAAAACGGGATGCAAATACAAATTTACATCCTGGTATCTATGATGAGTTTATTTACAACCACTGAGTCGATGCCACTGCTGTTGGAGTTTTTATTCCCCAAGGATATCACCAGATCAATAGTCAGCACTTCTGTGTTGACATGAATAATCATTGATCTGGTCATTATTATAAATTAACTGTTCATATAACTTTGATTTTTTGAAAAACTCAGGCTTTTCTACCACAGGAATAGATTACCATAGCTGTATTTGGCAAAACTTTTAGGAATTTTTGGTCCTCAATGCTCTTCAACTTCGTACTTTATTTGACCTTTTTAACTTTTTTTTTATTCGAGCGTCACTGATGAGTCTTTTGTAGACGAAACGCGCGTTTGGCGCAAATACAAATTTACTTCCTGGTTTTTATGATGAGTTTATGTACAACCACTGAGTCGATGCCACTGCTGTTGGAGTTTTTATTCCCCGAGGGTATCACCAGCCCAGTAGTCAGCACTTCTGTGTTGACATGAATTATCATTGATATGGTCATAATTATAAATTACCTGTTCATAAAACTTTGATTTTTTGAAATACTAAGGCTTTTCTACCTCAGGAATAGATTACCTTAGCTGTATTTGGCAAAACTTTTAGGAATTTTTGGTCCTCAATGCTCTTCAACTTCGTACTTTTTTTTTGACTTTTTAACTTTTTTTGATACGAGCGTCACTGATGAGTCTTTTGTAGACGAAACGCGCGTCAGGCGCAAATACAAATTTACATCCTAATATCGATGATGAGTTTATTCATAACTTACAAAAACATGTATAATCATAACTCTGATAGTTACCTTAACAATATTAACATACTGAGTATTGCAACGTTAACGGGTTTTTACATGTAAACGGATATTCCTTTAATATGTGTCTTACACCCCGGTATCTCAACCGTTTACATTACTAGTAGAAATGATTCGGCCTATGCTTTCTGCAGACAACATACTGACAATCCTAAGAACCAACACAATACAACAAATGAGACGTGTCAGAAACCTAGAAATGGCCAGAGGTGACAGGACAAGAGGTGACGACTGTGTCAAGCAATGTATTCGTTCATATAATAGATAACCAAGATCGATAAAAAGAGTTTCATATTTAATAAACAAACACAAACACAAATATCGCGGAATCTCCATATGAAATTCAATACTTGAATGGTCAATACATTTTTGAACCTCACCTTATAGGAAACAACGGGGCAAAAACATTGGCATTAAAAAAATACTCAAAATAAATTAACCAAGTAAAATGAAAGTTTTTGGCCTTAGTGCTAAAAAAATGATAAAAATAAATATATTCACACACTGGAAATTTATTAAGAAATGTACACTAGTCGTCCCTAACAAAACCTTCAATCAAACAAGTTAATGACGTCACAAATTCTGAAACACATTATTCAGTAGCATTGACTAGTTCAAGACCTTAAAACATGCGATAATACAAAATTTAATTCCAGAGTAAGGCTTGAACAATTCCGAAGATTGACGACCGTTACTCTGAAATATCCTCGGATTAACAATTTTTTTTTAATATATATACCAAATTGTACCTTATCTCTTCATCAATCCAAAATCAAGGAATATCTAGCTAGTGTACAATGCCTTCTATTTTTTTGGGGGGTGGGGGAGGGGGGGATTGAACGGAAACGCAAATAATGAATTTAGAAATGTTTGACTCTAAAACCGAAACAAATCAATTGTAAATACAGCGTTCAGTTACAAAAAATTCGTGTATGCTATTATAAAGTATGCTATTTAGACAAATTAGTTTGTTTTTGATAAAAACTCAACCAAAAGAAAAAAAACAAACTTTTTTTTGTAAGTTGATAGTGCGATCAATAACGTAGATGCCAAACGAAGAAATATTCTAAAGTAATTTATTAGCGTAAACAGTTTAAGACATATGTAGACACATTCAGAATGTAAAGAAGATGTTGAGACATCTAGAATGTAGAGTTCATTAAGAAGAAATCATGATGTTATGAATATGTTGAGACAAAGTCAAACATTCATCATACTTTTCAGAAAAACACAAAATTCTTACGCATTCAGATACAAATTGGTCAGTTGGATCTGATGACTTTGTAGTGAATGCATATTTACGTCTCTTTTATAGATTCATCGACACAAATTCGAAAAGATTTTAAAATGAGGGTTGCAATGGTAGCGTAATGAACCGCATGTTAATAATCTCTGGTACTATATATGTATCTTGTCATATGCGAAAGGTCAACCATGACGTATTTGTAACGGTATCATTAAACTTTAATTTTATATTTCACCTCTCTTTGGCACGAGGCCAAAATCATAAAATGCAAAACATAATACAAACATAGAAGAGCAGGTAAAACTTAAAAGGACGATAAGTAAAGTTAAACCCCGACAAGGCAGATACATGTAAACTGATTCATTTAAAATGATTCCAAAATTCTTAAACAGCCATTCAAATAAAATAATATCCGTCAATTCATTTAAGTACCGAAGTATTGGCTATTGAGCTAATGATATCCTCGAGGATTTAAAATCTATCAGATGTGGCCAAAAAGTCACCAAGAATATGTATCGAGCCAGTGAAAGTAATCCATAAAGACAGATCAGTCTGAAGTACTGGCTAATTGAATGGATTTATGATATCCTCGAGGACTAAAAGTCTTTCAGTAGACCTATCAATCCAGTGGTAGTAACAAAGTAAACATACACGGTACCAATTTTACTATACCAGATTACGAGTTCGACGATAAATGTATCTACAGTGATGCTCAATCAAAAATCAATTAACAGCTGCGCCATGAGCTTTTTCAAAGAATAAAGTTCAATAACATTTCAATGTCATATCAGAAATGTATAAAACAAACTAAAGGGAGGTTATTCTAAAAGATATAAACCTATCACCAAAATTTCATGAAATCTGCGCAAAGCACTTTTGAGTTATTGTCCGAAAAAAAAAACCCTTTTGTATGAATAACATAACATAACCCGGAAACGTAAAATCTAATAAATTTGTAATCGATAGGAAGTTGACGTCAATAGATATAAACAATTCACCAAAGTTTCGGGCAAGTTGGTTAAAGCATTTTTGAGTTATTGTCCGACATGTTGACGACGGACGGACAGACAACGGGCGTATAACAACTGAATACAAACGCTGAATAGCTGATAAAACCAAGAAGGCCCGAATGTACATCCAAACTCGGACAAAAAGCTATACATGAGAACAGTACATTCCTTAATTTAAAATGATTTTGAAATTGTTTGATTATAATTTCAATAAAACAATATCCGTATTTCTATGCCAGTACAGGGCAAATGATACTCTCGGGGACGAACGGTCCTCAAGCAGAAGTATTGATCCGGTAGTAATTACAACGTTAAAAATGAACGGTACAAATTGTACTGCACTAGGTGCGCATTTCGCCAAACAATTTAAAATCTAAAACCGTATACAAACGTTCAAAAGGTGATTAAACCAAACAGACAAATAGTGAAGCCAAACCAGGACAGGGAATCAGGGCTATGCACTAGGGAGATATATTCCTTGATTTAAAATCATTTCGAAATTTTATAACAGCATTTCAAATTAAAACATTACTCGTATTTTCATGCAAGAACCAAAGTACTGGCTACTGGGCTAATGACTTCATATGGGCCAAAAGTCCCCCCAGCAGACGTATCTATCTAGTGGTAGTAATAAATAGTGCTCATTCTGTTAATACCAATCTATCAGTCTTTTCATTATAAGTTTGACGAATTGAAGATATGAAGTTGACTGAGTGGTGACGGATTGATGACTACTGACTGATCACTAAAACAGTAACTCTTGAGGATGCAAGTACTGCAACAAGTTTATATGTAGATCTTTAACAATATTTTACAGGTGATATTTTGTTTAATCCTCCCAATTTGCTTCGTTCTTCAATTATAATACGTGTTTTATGTTCAGTATAACATTATGTATAGTTAAGTTACATTATTATTTGTTGTTTTTAGCTCACCTGGCCCAAAGGGCCAAGTGAGCTTTTCTCATCACTTGGCGTCCGTCGTCCGTCGTCCGGCGTCGTCCAGCGTCATCCGTCGTCGGCGTTAACTTTTTACATTTTGAACTTCTTCTAGAGAACCACTGAATGGAGTGAAACCAAACATGGCATGAATGTTCCTTATGAGGTGCTGACCAAGTGTTGTTACTTTGTAGCTGATCCATCATCCAAGATGGCCGCCAGCGGGGGACTTAGTTTAACATAGGACCCTATGGGAGATACATACAAATGTCTTCTTTTAGAGAACCACTGAATGGAATAAAACCAAACATGGCATGAATGTTTCTTATGAGGTGCTGACCGAGTGTTGTTACTTTGAAGCCGATCCATAATCCAAGATGGCCGCCAGCGGGGGACTTAGTTTAACATAGGACCCTATGGGAAATACATACAAATGTCTTTTTTTAGAGAACCACTGAATGGAATGAAACTAAACATGGTATGAATGTTCCTTATGAGGTGCTGACCGAGTGTTGTTACTTTGAAGCCGATCCATAATCCAAGATGGCCGCCAGCGGGGGACTTAGTTTAACATGGGACCCTATGGGAAATACATACAAATGTCTTCTATTAGAGAACCACTGAATGGAATGAAACCAAACATGGCATTAATGTTTCTTACGAGGTGCTGACCGAGTGTTGTTACTTTGAAGCCGATCCATAATCCAAGATGGCCGCCTGCAGGGGACTTAGTTTAACATGGGACCTTATGAGAAATACATACAAATGTCTTCTTTTAGAGAACCACTGAATGGAATGAAACCAAACATGGCATGAATGTTCCTTATGAGGTGCTGACCAAGTGTTGTTACTTTGAAGCCGATCCATAATCCAAGATGGCCGCCAGCGGGGAACTTAGTTTAACATGGGACCCTATGGGAAATACATACAAAAGTCTTCTTTTAGAGAACCACTGAATGGAATGAAACCAAACATGGCAAGAATGTTCCTTATGAGGTGCTGACCGAGTGTTGTTACTTTGAAGCTGATCCATGATCCAAGATTGCAGCCAGCGGGGGACTTAGTTTAACATAGGACCCTATGGGAAATACATACAAATGTCTTCTTTTAGAGAACCACTGAATGCAATGAAACCAAACATGGCATGAATGTTCCTTATGAGGTGCTGACCAAGTGTTTTTACTATGAAGCCGATCCATAATCTAAGATGGCCGCCAGCCGAGGACTTAGTTTAACATAGGACCCTATGAGAAATACGTACAAATGTTTTCTTTTAGAGAACCATTGAATGGAATGAAACCAAACATGGCATGCATGTTCCTTTTGAGGTGCTGACCAAGTGTTGTTACTTTGAAGCTGATCTTTCATCCATGATGGCTGCCAGATGGGGACAATGTTTAACAAAGGACCCTATGGACAATACATACACATGTCTTCTTTTAGAGAACCACATACTGAATGGATTGAAACCAAACAAGGCATGAATGTTCCTAATGAGGTGCTGACTAAGTTTTGTTACTTTGAAGCTGATCCTTCATCCATGATGGCCGCCAATGGGGGGGGGACTTCCTTTAACATAAGACCTTATGGGAAATACATACAAATGCTTCTTCTAGAGGTGCAATGAATGGAATGAAACCAAAACATGGCATAAATGTTTCTTACGAAGTGCTGATTAAATGTTGCTACTTTGTTGCCGATTTACTGTTCAAGATGGCCACCAGGATTTTTATTAAATTACAGGACCAATATTAAACCCAATTTGGCCTCATTCATTATTAGGGTATCTGTTATGATTTTAATCTATTTTTACATGATTTCCAAAACTAATGTAGAATCAGGTGAGCGACACAGGCTCTTGGGAGCCTCTAGTTTATTTAATAAAATCATCTTTTTTGTTTGCAGGGTAAAACGATTCCTCACAGAGCGAAAATAAGCACTAAGCAGGAAGACCATAATCCAAGTAATATCATTGTTTACATATTTTTATCTTTTAACCGGTTTCATTTTTCTAGAACATATATTAATGACGGTATAACTCTAAAAGTCCTGTTTTTAAAATATTCCTCTTTATACAGGGGGAAATACAAAGAACGAGACTCCTCGGGTTTTTTCCTAAGATATAGGGTAAAATATTTTGCGTTGGAAAGTTGACAAAACTAATTGGAATCAAAAGTAAGCCCAAAACCAGACAACATGTTACGGTTTGCGAGCTCCTTAAGAATTCCAATCAAGATAAGCACTTCAAACACGATCAATTGTAAAGTGTTGTTTGTATTTACCTGCACTGTGTTGATAACAGTATTGCAGGGAAAACTGAGTACTTCCCATTCTCAGTAGGCAGTATTTCGGTGTCGAGATGATTTATAAGACATTTTTTTTCTAAAATTCCAAAGGTTCCAAATCCCTCGTATAAAATTGATTAATTTACAATAAATACAATAGGTAAGTTATGTAATAGAGGTCGTTTGTGACGCAGGCCGGACGAATTTTGACTGACACTGGGAAATGAGTGTATATTAGAACGGACAGAAAATTCGACTTACAGCAGGCCACCTTCGGACCCTTTAAAGATTGCTTGCAAGGTGTCTTACCGTGCAGAGAGCATGGCAGTCTCTACATGAGGCATCGGATTAAACGTCCTCTTGTACATCCCACAAAGCCAACATCACGCAGATTGCTTGCAAGGTGTCTTACCGTGCAGAGAGCATGGCAGTCTCTCTACATGAGGCATCGGATTAAACGTCCTCTTGCACATCCCACAAAGCCAACATCACGCCAAACTTTGGCGAGGGTTTTACTGCCTGTAGGTAGAAGATCTTAGTGGACATTTCTCTATTCCCCAGTCACCCTTGGTTTCTTGTTCAAATAAAGGCAGCTGACTTAAATTTAGTCTTAGATGCATGATTTTTTTAGTTGTTATGGGCTTTGAACTAGCTGTTAGTAACTGCGAGTACTCTCAGATCTGTTCTTAGTGTCATTTTGTTGTTTTTGTTCACGTTCACTCTTTATTTTTTTAGATGTATTTGTATCCATCTTACAAATTAAGCCTTTTCCAACTGATTTTTATAGTTCGTTCTTATGTTGTACTGTTACACCACTGTCCAAGGTTAGGGGGAGGGTTGGGATCCCGCTAACATGTTTAACCCCGCCACATTCTGTATGTATGTGCTTGTCCCAAGTCCAGAGCCTGTAAATCATTGGTTGTCGTGTTTTGCTGTTACATATTTGTTTCTCGTTCATTTTTTTGTACATTAATTAGGCCGTTAGTTTTCTCGTTTGAATTGTTTAACATTTGTCATTTCGAAGCCTTTTATAGCTGACTTTACGGTATGGGCTTTGTTCATAGTTGAAGGCCTTATGGTGACCTATAGATGTTAATTTCTATGTCATTTGGTCGCTTGCAATCATACCACAACTTCTTTTTTTAAATATAAGCCGAACAACACCCTTGATTTTTTCTCAAGTAGGACTCAGTTACCCAGCTTCCCTTTTGTACTTAGTGCGAACAAAAGTATTGCCGTACGGAATTTTTTATTAACTCTGAGGTAAGGGTGGGTAGGGTGGCAGACCCCAACTTTGGACCACTTTGGACACAAAAAAAACCTGTATCTTGGCATTGTACAAGGTTATATTTTTCTCTGACTGTTAATGACGTCTTTACACTAAATCCATTGGATGTTGGATGTGTACTAATTGATAATTTAGTCTTTGATGCTTTCTTTTTTTATTAGTTGTTATTGGCTTTGAACTAGCTGTCAGTAACTGCGAGTACTCTCAGATCTGTACTTAGTGTCTTTTTGTTGTTGGGATGTACAAGTACCCGGCCACGTCCACTCTGTGTTTTTGTTAGATGAATTTCTAATTGTATCCATCTGATGAGTTAAGCCTTTTTCAACTGATTTGTATAGTTCGTTCTTATGTTGTACTGTTACACCACTGTACAAGGTAAGGGAGAGGGTTGGGATCACTATGTATGTGCCTGTCCCAAGTCAGGAGCCTGTAATTCAGTGGTTGTCGTTTGTTGCTGTGTTACATATTTGCTCTTCGTTCATTTTTTTGTACATTAATTAGGCCGTTAGTTTTCTTGTTTGAATTGTTTTACATTTGTCATTGTGGGGCCTTTTATAGCTGACTATGCAGTATGTGCTTTGTTTATTGTTGAAGGCCGTACGGTGACCTATAGTTGTTAATGCCTGTGTCTTTTGGTCTCTTGTGAAGAGTTGTCTCATTGGCAATCATACCACGTCATCTTTTTATTAAATTATAAGTTAGGTATAGTGGCTAACTTTCTGATTATCTCTAAATAATTGTCAATAAAACAGCTACCCAATGACAAACAAATATTACTTGGTAATACTACGCGTACGGCTTTCAGAAGACAAACAAATATTACTTTGTAATAATACGCGTACGGCTTTCATCAAATTACACTTTCAGAAACACAACATTAGACTGAATAAAGTCTCTAAATTTCAACATTTCAACAGAGACTTTCAAGGATCAGCATCTTTTACCAAAGTCCCCAAATGAAACAAAAAAAATACAATGAGATTTGACCAAAAACAACGAAATCATGCCAAGTTTCATGACCTCAGACAGACAGAAAGACATGTGTTCAGATTAAACAGTGTTGCTTTAGACCTATAAAACATACTAGTATCATTATTCAGGAAAGCTTATTTTTCTTTAAATGGTCACAAATAAAACTGACAATAACAGTGAAAGTCCTGTTATTCCTTTTATTTTTTATGTTATTTGCACCTCAAATAAATTTAATCCTGAACATTTAAGATGGAGTCATAATGATTGATTGTTGATTTATGAACGTCCAGTGGCAAATATTTCATGCATGTTCACGAGAACAAATTAATAATAAATACAATAGGTAGGTCCTGTACATGTGATAGAGGTCGTCCGGGATGAAGGTCGGGTAAATTTGGACTGCCACGGAAAAGTGAGGGTATATTCGATAGGGGCAGACATTTAGCCTTTCAACAGGCCACCTACGGACCGCTAAAAGAGTTGCTGCATGGGTTCTTGACGTGCAATGAGCGTGGCACTCTCTTTACACCAGGCATCGGATTTAACGTCCCCATTCTGACCGGACGTGGCTGCGTATTTGATACATCCCGCACAGCCAAACGTACGCCCAACTTAGGCGAAGGTTTTACTGCCGGTCGGAGGAAGACCAATGGTGACCATATTTCTATTCCCCGGACACTCTTGGGGGGAGTCATAACGAATTATTGTGGATTATTTACTTTCGTGGATTCAGGATATTTGATTTCGTGGTTCAATCAAAATTTGCATATAAACCAATAGAAAACATCTTCATCTCAAAGTCTTGTTATATTGCATTGCATCTAAGAGTTACCAAATAACATTACAGTCGGCGACAACGATTGATTGGTTTAATTAAAAAGACCACATAGAACACAATTTGAGAACAGATTTATTAGTCTTCGACTGGTCTGAAGGATAGGATATTTGGGATTATGACAACCCCGAACACAAAGACATGTTACATAGAGTCAACAATTTTCTTCGGATAGGTAACCCTCAAAACGTTTTAATATTCAGCTGTAGAAATCGTGTCATTGCCCTACATCATATTCAACGTCCCCAATTCTGATCCGACGTGGATGCGTATTTATGCATTCCACAGAACTTCGTGAAAATCATTGAGGCGACACAACGGAGAGATCTGAACCGATTTCTCTATCGTGGTTAGTTGGGGGGCTCCCTTAAAAGACATCATATGAACTGACGTAGATTCGTATTTATACATCCCACATATATTTCTTAGTTATCAGTACATTTGATATATGCTTTAACATGAACGGATAGAAAGATAAGTACTTCAGATACAAGTAATTTGTAAAGACCTGCACTGAGTTGATATCAGTGTTGTAGAGAGTACTGTGTAAATCCCAAGCTGAGGAGGAGGTGATTCGGTATTGGGATGATTTATAAGACATGTTTTAACCTAAATTACAAGGACTGCAACTCTCTCAGGCAAAGTTGATTGATTGCGTGTTGGTTGCTTAATGTCCAGTGGCAATTATTTCATGCATGTTTCGCGACAACTTAATAATAAATGCAATAATGCAATAGGTAGGTCCTGTAACAGAGGCCATTTGGCATGAATGTCGGGAGGTCCTGTAATATAGGCCGTCCGGAATGAAGGTCGGGAAAATTTGGACTGTCACGGGAAAATGAGAGTATATGGGATTGGGCCAGAAATTTAGCTTGGCACTCTCTTTACACGAGACATCGGATTTCACGTCTCCATTCCGACCGGACGTGGCTGCGTACTTGATACATCCCGCACAGCTAAACTAACGCCCCACTTTGACGAGGGTTTTACTGCCGGTCGGAGGAAGACTAATGGTGACCATATTTCTATTCCTCAGTCACCCTTTGGGTGAAGTCATAACGAATACTGTGGATTATTTATTTTCGTGGGTACCAATTTTCGTGGATTTAGGATATTTGATTTCATGGTTTAACCAAAATTTGCATATAAACCAATAGAAAACATTTTCATCTAAAAGTCTTGTTATATTGCATTTCATCTATGAGTTACCAAATAACATTACAACCGGCGACAACGATAGAGTGGTTTAAATAAAAAGACCACAATTTTGGAACAAATTAAATAATCTTGGACTGGTATGAAGGACGAGGTATTTTGGATTTTGACAGCCTAAAAAATCGAAGACATGTTACATAGGGTCAAACATTCGGCCTAAGGAATACGGAACCCCATAAAAGTTGTAATGTAAAGCTGTCATTACCCTAATTCATATTCATCGCCCTATACTGATCTGACGTGGATGCGTATTTATACATCCCACAGAACTACGTAATGTTTCTTGAGAAACCTTTTCCTTAAAACGGAGAGATTTGTACCCAGTTCTCTATCGTGATTAGTAGGAGGCTCCCTTGCAAAACTTGCTCCATACCAGGAATTTTAGTAACGAAAGACATCGTTTACTTAGATGTGCATAATTATGATTTTAATTTTCCCTCCATTAAATAAAAAGTTTTATTCATGAAGAATATTTTGAACGAAACTAAACATCGGCCCCCACAATCCGCAGAGACATGTTTTCTGACTGGTAGTTAAAAGATTACGCGATTAATTGTTGTTTGCTTTACATTCAGTGGCAAATATTTCATTAATTTTCAAGACGAGAACAATAAAGAATACCTTAAAAATGCAGGGTACTGTAAAGTGAGACAATTTAAAATTTCAATTGTAAAAAACGCTGTACTAGCCAACACAGTCGATGTGTTTCTACTTTATTAATTTCGACCCATCAAATTCGGATGTTTGTTTTCTTTACAAAAAAAAAAACAATACATGCTTAATAAAGTTCAAGGTAATAAGGACCACAAAAGGGGGAGGGGGTGTCTCAACATGGTATTGTGGGTACAGACGTGCAGCGCAGCTGGTATTTCAAATCCCACCCCCATTTCCCCGGTTTCATAAATTGATGTCTGGTAAAAATCGAGACCCATGAATATATTTCATGACAAATTCATAACCCGTTCATATATTTCTTAGTTATCAGTGCATTTTTTCTACATCTTTATTTGATTTTAAAGCGGTTAAAACATATATACAGATATTCTATTGAAATATAAAAAAAACAGACCCATTCACATTGTACCTTAGTGAAATTGCAACCCACTGATATATTAGACACATAAAAGGGACCTATTCCAGCAGCACGTATGTAAAGAAATCCCTTCCCCTGGGATTAGGACAAAGGAAGCATATACATATTTTTTTTATTATCTTGCACATGATTTTAAATAAGTAGGTCAAACAAACATCTTCTCCCACTGCATTGGTATGTCCAGTACATTACTATGCTCTACCCTTATCTGTTTTTCAATTTTCCTTTGATTATGATGTTGTCGAATCATGCTAAGCTCGAGTTCTTCAAAATGAAAAAAAAAAACTGAAATAAATCGTTACCATCTGTGAAAAAATTTGAGGTCTTGAAAAATTCAATATTACAGAGTTTTATATAGTGTGCAAAACATCAGATATGTTACAACATTCAATCACTTTTAGCGGTAAACTGCATTATAGATTAAAAAAACAATTGTTGTAATAACCAACTCAATACTTCATTATTATTTATTTTCAGAAAATGAACCAAACAAAGTAGCAGCTCAGGATCAAGCATCTGTCAAAACCAACCTTCCTGTTTCTGTCAATTTGCGTCAACAGTTAAATATAAAACAGTCAACGAATGAAAATCTGTCCATTACTAGCTGTATCAAAACAGACAATACATTATTGTTCACCGACTGTAGTAATAATCGACAACTTATTATTTGTAATTCAGACGGTACTGATATCCATCACATTCATCTGTCCTATACACCACGTTATATGACAGTGGTAAATATTAATACTGTAGCAGTATCTTGTCATAACAAAACCATACTGATAATAAATATATCTACAGGTTCTGTCACCAGTACAATCAACACCAGTGGTTACTGCTACGGAATATCATATAATGATAATAACCTGTACGTTGTTATTGATAACAGTATAATACATGTGATGGACCTGACAGGTGAAGTAATACGTACTTTACCTTTACCTTCAGGCGATATCGGCGACATTACAGTAGACAGAGACGGGTTGGTCTGTCTAGACACTACATCAATATACTGCTGCTCGTTAGATGGAAAACGAATTTGGAAGTTTAAACAGGATAAATTTCAAGATTTAGGTCGTGTGACAACAGATAATGAGGGGAATGTGTATGCGACTACATATAACACCAACACTGTAGTGGTAATTTCTCATGATGGTATACATTATAGAGAACTTCTTACTGAATCAGATGGATTGAACAAGCCGTGGGGAATTTATTTTGACAAAAAAAATAAAATTCTGCTTGTTTGTAATGATGATGATGCTTTTCTTTTTGACGTAAAACAGAATGAAAACAAACATGAATAATTCTTTCAGACAATGAGTACGTTCGCACTCGGATCTGTTTGTGCATTTAGTCATTCACAATATCTTTTATTTATTTTTGTTTTCTCTTCTATCAATCTAACTTAATTGAAAACAAATTACAGAAAAATTATAATTGTTTTTGAAAATGTAACTTGAATTTGCCTCGTCTTTTGTATTTCATTAATGTTGTTCGAATATTATTTTTTACGCATTTTTAAAACATTTGAACATTCATTTGTTCCTTGAATATTTCAATATGGAAAATAAAAAAAATAAGAAATTCGAATAAGAAAAACTGTTCTTGTTTGGAATATATTTTAACAAACAAGAAAATATTGTGCATGTTTGTAATATAAATGAAGGAAATTTTGTAATATAAATGACGGGAAGGTTGTTTTTTTTTTTTACGTAAAAACGAAACGAACATAAATGAAAATTGATTATTTTATTCGAATTCAGATTTGTTTTTTCATTAATCATTCGAAATGGATTGTATTTGTTTGTGTGTTTTCTACCAAATACAAATTCAACTTAATCAATTATGAATTATTTTATGGAATTACTACAATGCTTTCTTAAAAGTTCAATATAAGGTATAGACGTAAATTTTGGCCTAAAATGGTCTAAATATGATCACCGCTTAAATTTAATTTGCGACAACAAAACAACTCTTTCACTTAACGTTTCATATCTGCAAATTTGTTGGTTAGTTCAAGTAAACTATGACATCAAAAGCACTATTTTGTGTCAGAGTAAGGCTACTTTTACGTTCTAAATTAGAGGGAGTGAATTGGTGGTCTGACACCTATATATATGAAATTTCAGAGAAAGTTTACTTAGGCTAAAGACATGTTATTCTTGGTTTACTTCTATTTGCCGGTTGGGTTGTGATGGTTAAAACTGATAATATATTTCAGAGCATCTTTTTGAAACCCATTTGCATAGTATTAACTTGCCTCGTTCTGAACTTTTTTTCATGTGTTTTATGCTTTTTATGTAATATATTTTTTGCATTTTAACCTGTGGGGATTTGACTTTTTACAATAAAAATTATTCTTTTAATTTTATTATTTATCTATGTCCTAATCTTAATCTGTCCTCAAAATAAAACGATTCTATACGAATGTTTAGAAAAATAGAACAACTTTTGAATATGTATGTGTCACTTGTATTCTGCTGTGTATATCCTCCGAAATAACAGCAACTCCGCCCCACTTCCAGTTAATTTCTGTAGACTTTAATGTACATCATTTTTTTTTATTCGTCTGTTCCTAAATATGAATGATATTTTAACAACTGCACGATTATTTTTTCACTGAAACCAACCATTAATATTTCACGTCCGCACAAATAATTAAAAAAAATACACCAATGATGCATTTCTCCAAGGACATAACAAATGTGACGTACGTGAATGTGACATATGTGAATGTGACATATGTGAATGTGACATATGTGAATGAGACTGTAACCAAACGACACAAAGGAACATAAAAAGTAAAATCACAAAAATACTGAACTCCGAGAAAAATTCAAAAAGGAAAGTCCCTAATCAAATGGCAAAATCAAAAGCTCAAACACATCTAACGAATGGATAACAACTGTCATATTCCTGACACTTGGTACAGGCATTTTCTTATGTAGAAAATGGTGGATTAAACCTAGTTTTAAAGCTAGCTAAACCTCTCACTTGTATGACAGTTGCATCAAATTCCATTATATTGATAACGATGTGTGAACAAAAAAAAACAGACATAATAGGTAAGTCAACATTGTGTTATAATCTTAATCACTATAAAAACAAACAAATATGTATAAAAAAAGAAGCACAAAATGACATATAGACCAAGCATATTAGCAAAAATTGAAGACAAGAATACACAAATTTACCATGGTATAATGACGGGATGTATAAGTACAGAGCCACGTCATATGTGTCAAAGAAACACCAAAAGGCATATAGACAAAGCACATTAGCAAAAATGAAAGACAAAAGACGAGAATTATCATTGAACAATAACACAATGACGAGATGTACAAGTACCAAGCCACGTCAAATGGATATCAATAAAAACAGACTAAACAGTATTTTCATAAAGACAAATAAAAGAATAGTATAACATGTTATTAAGATGATAAACAACGTCAGTACCCAGAATCTATACTACAAGACCATCGTGTATTATTTGTGAAGTTGATAATGAATATTTATCAACAAGGTCTTGGTTCCTTCCAATGAACTTTTTTTAGAAAAATGACGAGACGTTCTTTGACATACCCCTGGTTCATCAACTTTCTGCTCAGACACTGGTGACGTGTCATATACGCCAAGGACACAGTATTCAAACAGAAAAATTAGATGTGGAATATTCGTTATTGAGACGCAGATAATAAAAAAGGTATAGCATATGCTATGCAACCTTTAAGACAGATTTACTAAAGAAAGTGTGGCATAAACGTCAATCAAACATAACTCCAAAGAATATGAACAAATGTGGAATAGGTTAACGGGACATTTCCTAACGTAACATGTATCACACAATTGATTGATTGCTGGTTGCTTAACGTCCAATGGCAAACATTACATGCATGTTCAGGACGAGAACAAGTTACCAATAAATACAATAGATAGGTCTTACAATAGAAGCCAAGGTCGGGGATATTCGTACTGCCACTGGAAAATGAGAGTGTATTTGATAGGGACATAAATTTGGCCTTGCAATAGGCCACCTACTGTTCTCCCAAAGAGTTGTTGAGTTGTTCTTAAGGTGCAAAGAGCGTGGCATTCTCTCAACACGAGACATCGGATTTAACGTTCCCGTTCTGACCAATCGTGGTTGCATACTTGATCATCCGGCACAGCCAAACGATTGCCCCACTTAGTCGAGGGTTCCACTGCCGTTCGGGGGAAGACCAATGGTAATCATATCTCTACTTCCCAGTCACCTTTCGCAGTGATGTATCATATAAATCAATGGCACAGTACTGTAACGAAATAAATAACAACAACAGATGTGTCATGTAACTACTCAGCGATACAAAAAAAAATAATTAAACAATGTGGCATATACGTAAATGATTGATTGTTCGTTGCTTAAAGTCCAGTGGCTCACTATTTCAATTTCAGAAATAACAAATTAACAATAAAGACCATAGGAAGGTCCCGAAGTCCTGAAGTAGAGGCCGTCTGGGGTGAAAGTCGGGATACATTAACTGTTATTGGAAAATGAGGGTAAAGTGAATTGGGACAGAAATTGTGTTTTGCAACATTCCATTTACGGACCCCTCAAAGAAATGTTGCAAGGGTTCTTAACGTGCAGGGAGCATGGTGCTTTGTCGAAATGAGGCATCAGATTTAATGTCCTCCGACCAGACGTTGCTGCGTACTTGTACAACCAGCACAGTTAAACGATGTTAACAGAACAGCATCTGGCGAAACAAAGTCGAAAAATATGTTGCATTAAACCTACTGACACCATACTCCCACGACGCAAATAATAAAAAAAACTTTTCGTCAATGATAAAGTATCATTACATTGAACATGTTCAAACTAGTGTAAAAAGTGACATTTACATTTCTGTGCATCAGCGATACAGTATCCTCACAACACAAATAGTGAATGAGGTAAGAGAAGAAAATATTACATATACGCTGGACAAAGAGTACCCCAAAGACAAAAATATTTAAAAAAGGTTGCATATACGGAATAAAACGTTACTCCAATAATAAATAATTTTTTTTTAAATGTGTTATATACGTCAATTAGACAGTAGACGAAAGACACTAATGATAAAAAACTGTGCCATTTTCGCCAACAAGAAAGTACACTAACGAAGCAAGTTGTTGAATAATGTGATAATAATGACAATAAGACAGTACTCCAAAGACAGTTAAATGGTGTGGCACATACTTCACATAACTCAAACGACGCAAATAATAAAAACAATGTTGTGGCATATAGGTTTTTGAAATAAATACTGAAATAGGATGTGTCGTATATATCTTTGACATAGTACTCCTACGATTCAAATCAAACATAAGTTGTGGCATATTTGTCAATGTGACAGTACCTTAACGACGCGAAAAAAATATAGCATATAGATCAATCAGACCATGCCCTGACGAAACAAATAATACAAGAAAGATGTGACATAACCGTCAATGCTGAAACAGTACCCTATCAACACAAATAAAGAAAATGTGGCATTACGGTCAAGGATACAGTACCGAACAACACACACGACAAACAAGATGTGCCGTATAAATCAATGACACAGTTCTTCAACGATACAAATGGTAATAAAGATGTGCATATCCGTCAAGGATACAGTACAGTGCACATAAAAAAATAAACACAAATGTGGCATATTTGGCAAGAAAACAAAACTCAAAACGACACAAACAATGACAATATGTGTCATACGAGGCCAATAATAAAACAAAAAGATGTGGCTTCTACGTCAATGAGAGAGTACCCTTAGACAGCAAATTGTGAAAAAGTCTTATGTGTCATCGAAACAGTTTCATAACAACGCAATTAATGAAAACATGGCATATACGTCATTAAGACAGAACCCTAACGAGGCGAATGAAAGATATGTGACATTAATGTCTAGAAAATATACCCAAGCTACACAGATCTTTAAAGAGTATGTGTAATTTACGTCAATGACACAGTACACTGACGACATAAATAATAAAACAGCAATGTGGCAATGAAAGAATACCCTTACAAAGCAAATAGTGAAAATGTGACTTAGGAATGAAAAAGGCAGTATACTTACAAAGCAAATAGTGAAAAGGTGGCATAGACGTCCATAAGCCGCCCCCAAAATGCATTACCAACAAACCCACCCCTCCTCCATATTCGCCATGGACACAGTACTCAAACGGAGAAAGGTGTGGCATAAACGTAAATGAGACTATACCCTTACAACGCAGATAATAAAAAAAAGTTATGTCATATGATATACAACCTTAACGACACAAGAACTAAAGAAAGATATGGCATATACGTCAATAGTGAAAATGTGACTTAGAAATGAATAAGGCAGCAAATAGTGAAAATGGTGGCATAGACGTCAATAAGACAACAACCAACAACAAAATTAATAACAAATAAATATTGCATTACTTTTCCAGCAAACGGTTCCAGAACTAATACATACTACAAGGGACATAAACTGCATCCCTGTTTACGCCTCGAGTCAACGGAAAAGGATCCTATATAAGATTGTTAACTATATCAGAAGAAGAAATATCAGTGTTTAAAATTTTAATCAATTTAATAACATTTGGACCAAATTATTCTTTTCTTACGCTTAAAAAAGGAAATCATACTCAACACGATCATATGGTTTCTCTTGATCAAGACCAACAAAAGCACAAGGAATGTATTGTTTTTTTGTTCGCCAAATCAGATATATTCCTAAAACGATGGACATTATCAAGAATTGATCGATCACGAACCGCACATGTCTCATCTAGATGTATCAAAACATGAATGACAGTCATAAATCTATTGGTGATAATTATGGATACAATCTTGACGTCAACATTTAACAGTGATATCGGTCGATACATCTTTAATAGATGAGATTTTTCTGGATATTTACATACATTATAAGTGTTACATATGATAGTTTCTGATCATTGGACAATGTACCTTCTTTAAATATATTATTTTACATATCGAGTAAAAAATCAGACACAATATCAAAAAAAGTTACATACAATTCATTAGATATGCCATCTGGACCAGGAGACTTATTATTCTCCATACCTAGGTTTTAAAATTTTCATCTTTTGTAAAAGGTTTATCTATTATATTTTAGTAAGATTCACTCAATTTTGGTAAATCTTCTAAAAACAGATTCACGAAGTTTACTATATATACCTTCTGTAGTGAATAAAGTGGTATGAAAATTCCGAAACTGGTCTATAATATCGCCAGAAGTTGAAAAATGTTTTGAATTTTCCTCAGTTTTTGTAATAAATTTTTTCCGTCCTCTATTAGCTTCAAGTTGAAAAAAGAACTTGGACGGTTATTCAGAATTGTCTA